TGATGGCAGAGGGATAAGGTCAGCAAAAGAGAGGAAGACCATCACTGAGATGAATTGATGACGGTGACTGTAACATTGCACTTGAGCAAGTTGGAGATCATGAAAACAGTGCAGGATAGGGCAGGGTTCAGATTTACTGTTCATTGGGTTGCTGTGAGTTGTAGTTGACTTGATGTTAACTAAGAGCAACATTGCCTCCGTGGAGAATGTCATCTGACTTATGGAAGTTCACATTATATATTATTTATATATGTTTATGTGTGTGTTCTTAAAAAGAATCCTTATTTGTACAAGTTGGTGGTCAAAATAATAGAGGAAGTGTTTAGGATGCTTTAAGATTTCAGGATTTTAAGTGTAGAAAAATACAGGATTCCTGTCCTCCCAAACTTAACAGACTATAGCATAAAACTAGTTAGCTACAATCAGAATAAGGGCCACAGTATACAGAACATACAGCTTGCTATATGTTATTGTTGGGTGCCATTGAGTCAGCACTAGTGATAGCTGACCCTTCAGCAGGTTTTCAGAGGCAGCAGTAAATCAAGTGCATGGGAGGAGCATGTCCGTCCTTCTGTGGAGCAGCTGGTGAATTCAAACCCACATGCCTTGGGGATTGCAGCACAGGTTCTTCCTACGAGCCCACCAGAGCTCCTTAGGTGTGTAATAAAATACACATAGCAAAAAAGATGCCATGTTTAGTCATTAATTTTTAAAATATAAAATTATCTGAAAGGAAACTTGTATTAATGTTGGAGATTTCTATTAATAAAGGAAGACTAGTTTGACTCCCCGTAAATAGGGAGCAGGTTCCCTGAATCTCTGGGATATATTTCAGAATTCAGGTTTGTTTTACATTTTAAAACTGTAATATATCTTCGCCATTACTTGATATATATCAGAAAGCTGGATAGTGACTAGGGATGATAGAAGGAAAATTGATGCCTTTGAACTGTGGTGCTGGAGAAGAGTAGATTCATGCTGGAGAGTGTGAAACCAGGCTGCTCCTTATAGGCAAGGCTTCTGAAGTTCAGTCTGTCATACTTTGAGCATGTTGCAAGAAGGGACCAGTCCTTAGAGAAGGACATCATGCTTGGGAGGGTGGAGGGACAGTGCAGGAGAGGAAGACCCTGGATGAGATGGACTGACTCGGTAACTGGGGTCATGGGCGGAGGCACATCAGAGACAGTGTTTGGCCCAGGATAGAGCAGGATTCAGAACTGTTGTACATAGGGTCACTATGAGTCGTAAGCAAGTTGACGACACATGAAAACAGCAGTGTTGTTGTTGTTTGGAGCCCCATCCTAATGATCTCTCATAAGCTCAAGCCCATTGTTGCAGTCAGTGTGTCAGTGCATCATATTGTGTAGTGTGTGTGTGTGTGTGTATATTATATATATATTATATAATGCAGCCTTACCT